TCCTCTTCCTTCTTTTTCTTGCTTTTTTCAGCCTTGACAACTCCCTTTTTTGCTGCATCAGGCTTTCCTTTAGCTCGGTATGCAGCAATATCCTTCCAAAATAAAGGCAAGATAAAAACAGTAGGAAAGGAAAAAATTTTGTTAAGGGGAGAAATAGAAGTAACAGGGCAAAACTATGAGAAACCAAGATACCAGTTACACTAAAATATCACACATATGTAGATCCACTCAACTCCAGAAATAACCAGAACATCAAGATATGCACATTAAAATACTATGGGATCATTATAGCAATCTATAACTCATTAAATGGCATAGTCTAGTATTTGCAAAGTTATGCCTCATTGAGGTGCAATTATGTACAACATCCTAACTCTAGTTTATTAAAACTAGAATGTAGAGACTTTGATTAAAGGGTAGACACTGCCACCTTCTGAATGCAAAAAAGCATTCTACAGGTTTATATTGTCAGACCCTAATCCAGAGAACATTTTCTCTTAAAAAAAAAAAAAAAAAAGTAACTTGCCAGTAAGCATGCAAACAGATTAAACATCTAGAAATAGATATTTTTCAGAATGACTAAAGAAGCTAAAAATTAAGTACTTAATATTCCAATTTTAATTATGAGTTAGAGATTTCCTTCATCTTATTAATTTACTGTACAGATTGGCAGACTTGAAATTTAACTTAGTGATGCTGTGATTTTTTTTGGGGGGGTACCTAAAGGGAAGACACATAAATGTTTCAGGGTATAATTACAAAAAACATAGCCTATGTTACTTTATCCAGCCTAATTCTTAAATTATATGCTTGACCATTTAAAAACGATTATTTTTGACTAGTGTGCCTACCAAAACTTTCATCAACTTGGAGATACTGTGAAATAGTAACATCAAGTTACATGTATAGCCTTTGTCCGAGACTAATCATGTAACAATTTATTTGGTTCTCCCTATTACTGATGACTTAAGTCAACACCATACTTAATGTAGCAGTTACACACTAAAAACTGTTATTACACCTCGAAGTCTTAGAAATCTGTAAGAAAACAGCAAATTAAGATATCAAGTACCATCATTCAACATCTGGCATACCTCCTTCCATCACTTCTTACCTTTTCGTACTTTTCCTTCAGCTTTGCAGCCTTCTTTTCATACGGCTGCTTGTCATCTGCAGCAGTGTTATTCCACATTTCTCCCAGTTTCTTTGCAACATCACCAATGGATAGGCCAGGATGTTCTCCTTTGATTTTAGGGCGATACTCAGAACAGAACAAGAAAAAGGCCGAACTAAAAGGAGAAATTTAATTTTAGGATTCTAAATTAAAGTTAGTAGATCACAAAACAAACACTATCATCAAATATACACTATATTGCTATATAAAAGCTGCCTGTTAACACCTTCTAATAAACAGCCTGATTAACTTCTACTGTGCACTGAACAGGGTACAAATATTACAATAAGCTAAATATCCTTCACAACCAAAGCTTAATTTACAATTCTTTAACTTATACTAGAGCTCCAGAAGAACATTCTACAAATTACTCCAGAGTGATAATAATTTTCAAGAAATAAAAGTCAAGATTATATTACGAGATATACTAGGCAAAGGAGGCCAAGTGTCTAATTCAAATGTTCTAACACTCCCACCCAACAGGAACTTATACTTAAATATACCAACGTAAAGTATTAGCTAAGAAACTGCACTCAACTCACAGGTGGCTTGCTAAATTTCTATCAGATTCTACTGTAAAACATGTCTGGAAAATAAATATAGGCAAGATACTCACGGAGGCCTCTTGGGTGCATTGGGATCCTTGAACTTCTTTTTTGTTTCCCCTTTAGGAGGGATATAGGTTTTCATTTCTCTTTCATAACGGGCCTTGTCCGCCTTTGCCATATCTTCAAATTTTCCTTTCTCTTTAGCAGACATGGTCTACAAAAGAATTATTTGCAAACTTAAGTTATAAAAATTTTAATACATCACTCTCAAAAACACAAAATGAGTAAAACCACGTCCTTTGCTATTCAATAGCCTCACATTACGAGAACACCAGCTAGGCTTTAAACTCCCCCCCAATTTGGAAATTATAACTTTTTTAATCATCTTGTTAGTACATTTTAAGCCTTCTTACCTTCCACCTCTCTGAGCACTTCTTAGAAAACTCTGAGAAGTTGACTGAAGCATCTGGGTGCTTCTTCTTGTGCTCCTCCCGGCAAGTTTGCACAAAGAATGCGTATGATGACATTTTGCCTCTCGGCTTCTTAGGATCTCCTTTGCCCATGTTTAGTTATTTTTCTAAAAAATAAGTGTTTGATGTTAGCAATGAAACTATGACATTTAAGAGGTGAGAGCCTAAGTTTAAAAGTACTTAGTTAGGAACTGAATGAAAACGAAGGTACTGGTCATTTAAGAGTGACATAAACCTCCATAAAACCAGATAACATGGCAGTGATAGCCAATTCCTAGAAGGGGCTATGCCAAGCAAAAAACGGTCCTTCAACCTGATATCACAAAGTATAGAAACGAGGGTATAGTTATACATTATTCAATATCTGCCTGTGTCCGTTGTGAATATCTAACTGGTCATTTAAACAATTTTTTTAAATCCAGAAAACCATTTTTAACCAAGAAAACCAAAGGTCACAAAACATGCTGCCAATTCGTGGATCTATGCTAGATAGAGAACAAACAGGGAAGAGCCTACGTGAGCTGACCCTTCCAAATTATGAAACCTTAAAAAAATAAAAAAATCACCGTGCATCTAAAGTTTTCCCAATTACTTTAAGAACACCCCCTATGCATAAAACTTTGCCGCGAGGAGAGAGCAGCAGCAAGCTCCAGCGCTCGGAACCTGGCTGGGGGGTGGCGGTGCCACCGCCAGGCAGCTTCCTATCGGTTTGGCCCTGAGATGTATTTCTGTTCTGACTAAACACGTCCGGTCTGAAGTTTCTCCGAGTAAACAAGGATGAGGGACAAAAGCCACTCCTGCCCGTGGCTCGGTGGCCCCCTCCCCCTCACTAGGGGAGTATTTTTCGGGCCGGTGAAAGTTGGGGTGACTCCCGCGCAGGGCGGGCCCCCGCCCCCAAAACTTCGCCCGCGGCCGCGGCGAGGGTTCGCGGCCGGGCTCCCAGGCCGGAGGCCGCCACGTGCGCCCGGCAGGCCCGCGCCGCCGCCGCCCCCATTTTGTCAGGCTCGGCGCAGGGAGAAGCCCCGCTCGAAATGGGGGTTGGCTCCGCCCGCGGCCGCCGGGGCCGGCGCGCACGGAATGGCCGCTGCGCGTCTTCCCCGCCTGCGCCGCCGCCGCCGCCGCCGCGAGGGCGAGCGCGAGCGAGAATATGGCTCCTTCCCTTTGTGTGTGTGTGTGTGTGTGAGTGTGTGAGTGCGAGCGAGGCGGCGGCGGGCGGGGTGCGCGCCGCGCTCTGGCGCACACACTCGGCCATTACGGCCGGGGGAGGGGCGGGGGGCGCGCGGCCCTCCCTCGCTCCCCTCCCCCTCCGGCCGCGGGGTGGGGGCGCCGCGAGGGCCCACCCGCCCGCCGCTCCCCGTCTCCCTCCGCGCGGGCCCGCGCGCCCCGCCGCCCCCGCACGGAGAACGCGGGGCTGTGAAAAGAGAGAGGAAAAAAAAAGTTGCCTCGGAACTGCTGCGCCCAGCTCCCCCGCCCGCCCGCCCGCCTTGTTTTCTCTCCAGCCAGCAGCGCCGGGCCCGAGTCAGCCATGTTCCAGCGAGCGCAGCGGCGCCGCTCC